CTATAGACAGTTGAGTGGTGGTTTGCATCCATATAAATTTTCCTTAACTATGATATTAATTGTGAGTACTTAAAATTATCTTGACACATACGTTTTGTTTTTCTTTTGGTTTCTTGTTAATCAGAGACAAAGCAACATGGCGAAGGAAGAAGCTCCAATCTATGTAGTAATCTCAGATCAGGCTCCGGCAAGAACAAGAGCAAATGGGCCTATTGGTTTATGGAAGAGGGTGTTTTATATTCTCATCTGCTGGCGGGCGGATGGTTTCCAATACAAAGCATCGACAAGTACGATATGGGCGGCACGCGGAACCGACAACTCATCTGGCTCGACTCCGTTGCCGTCAGTTTTAGACGCTTTCCCTCCGTCAGCGTCCCTCCCCCCATAAGCCACAACAAAACAATTCAAATCTGAGCATATCCTCCAAATACTCCCTCCTTATATATTGTCATTTTATTTTGGTTGTTGGTTATAGGTACATTTAAATAACTTTTTATTTTTTTTTTAAATAATACATTTAAAAAAACTTCGTAAACTAAAACTTTAATATTCGTTAATTCATTTTTATTTAGTCTCATTGTCTATGACTATGTACACGGATGTTTCAGGTCTTTTTCTCCATGTGTGACTTCATCTTCAACGTTTGATTTTTTTCTTGATTTTTTTTTATTTTCCATATTCCAAAATACTAGTTTAATATAACTACACCTCATGTTGACGACGACGTCGACGACAAAAGCTAAAATTGTGGAAAAATCTAATGTCATTCAAGTTTCTTCTTATTTTCCTAACAACGTCGGTATTCTATTATATATATTCGAGAGAATACATTAAATTATGCGGACTAGTTAATACAAAAAGATAAAAGAGATATGCTGTCTATTGTTGTCAAACCAAAAATATATGCTCTCTGTTTGTTTATTTTTTTTGTTTGGTGTGACATATGCTCTCTGTTTATTGAAAACAAACAGAAAATGTCCCATCTGAAAATATGAATTCTCAAGGTTTAATTTGGATTTCTAATAAGCTTTTGGTATTTCTCTGTTCTTCCCTTGAAATAGAACACCTAATTTAATCTATGGGCTATTTACTTTCAAAAAAATTAATTGAATAATAAAAAAATTCGAATCATTTCTTAATTATGTAAAAAGAAATAGTAGTTTCTGATACTATAACCGTTTGGGGATTAGTTTGTATGACTATTCTGATGCTGTAAGATAATTTTTTTTTTTTTCTGGCGTCATGTTCAAGCTTTTCGCAGGATTTGGAGATGGAGAATCATCTAGTTGACCGAACAAAACATAGGTTACGTGACTTACGTCTTCCCCTAACTTATTGTCTCTTGTTAGCATGAAAATATTGTAAAATATAATTTTTATAAACTTTTTGTTCTATTTCAAAAATACAATTGAAATTTATAGATGTTTATAAACCTTGCATAAACAAATTGTGTATAAAAAGTTATAGTATTCTTTATAAAAACTATAAAAATATGTTTTATAAACTCTTAGAATTTTATGTATTATTTATAATCTTTACAAACTATAAAGATAGTATCCTTGTTTGATTTTCTTCTGGTTAACAAAAGTATTCTTGTAAAAAAAATTTTAAAAAAAAGTATTCTTGTTTGGTTTTCCTTAAATGAAATGGAATCGATGATTGAATCATCCTCGTAACAAAGCATTTTTATGGGATGTAAAACATAGACCGTTTTGTTAATTAACGGTGAATTAGAATTACTTCAGTTTATACATTTTAATATATCTAACTAGTTAGAAATCAGACATAATTTTTCTTACATAGGAAGAATT